CCTTTCTTTGTATCTGCTATGCTTAGCACAGTGCCTGGTATATAATAGGTGCTTAATAAATGCTTGTTGCCTGATTGACTTATGTCAAGCCTAAATCTACTTCTTCGAAATTTCCTCTATTCCCTATCTCTTTGCTTCTAGTACTGTCTTCTGGTGACCAGCAGAGCAAGTTGAGCTTCTCAAAATATTTTTGGCCAGCTATTATGTCCTACCCCATCCAAGCAGCTTCTTCTCCAGGTGCAACATTTCCAGTTCCTTTAAGTACTCCTTATAAAGCTGCCTTATAAAGGTAGCCTCCCTTACCAATCTGGTCATCATCTTCTGCATTTGCTTATGCTTGTCAACATCCTCTTTGGAATGTGGCACCCAGAACTGAACTTCTGATGAGGTCTGACCAAGTTGGAGGACAGCAGGACTCTTATTTCCCTTATTCTGGGCCCTGTCACTCTCAACTCAACCCAGGGCAGCCTTCATTACTTTATCTGGTTGTTTTTTGTTTGTTTGTTTGTTTATTTTCTCACTGTCAAAGCACACTGTTGACTCACACCAAGGTTGCAGTCCACTAAAACCTCTGGATCTTTCCCTTATAAACTGTTATGTTGCCATCCTCCAAAAATGGAACAAATTACCATATGTGAGTAATAAATTTGGTTATAAGTTTGCTAGGTGCTGAGGTAAAAAGAGATTTTTGCTTTGCCTTTTTTTTTAAGGAAACCAGAATCTACCTACCTTTTTTACTTTCTGACAGCAGTAAGCACACAGCTCCTTCACAGGCAGATTCCTCCCCCCCCTCCCCAATTAACTCAAGTAGGAGTCTATGCTCTGAATTTTTCTATAAAGGACATTGAGTAGCATAGTGGGCAATCTATTCAACCTTGGTTTTTGTAAGAGATATAGAATTTCTTTGAGTGGCTGAGATTAGGAGGCTCAGATATTTTGCTTTCTAGTGCCCCAGCCTGGGAATATGTAGCTAGGTTTTGAGGGCAACAAATCAGCCCCAGAGCCCTTGGCCATGGCCCCAGGGGAATGGCGGGAAAAGATCATACTCCACTAGCAAGAAAAAGGAATAGCTAGATAACCTGGCATCTCTTTAGGCCCTGAAACAGCCCTGCTTCATTTGCAGGGTACACCACTTTCATGAAAGTCTTTCCTTCACAGCAGGAGAGGAGGCATTTCCCCCCACGAATATGAGCTTGCTGGCAGATTCCTGCCCATTGACAGCACTTTAGAACTCAGGAGGACTACAGGATGTGCAGCAGGAGGGGAAGAGGAGCTCAGTTTGCCAAGACTCCCAGGGAGGCCTGTTCATCTCCCTCTGCGTTCCATGGTTTGCTCCTGACCTCCTCATTAATGCCCTCTTCCATCTTTCCTGGAGTCACTGCTGTGACAGCCCCTCCCTTGGGAAATCCAGGCTACTGTCTGATCATTCTGACAGCTGAACAACTTCTCTCCCCAGTTCCCAGCCCAGTCAGACTTCCCTTTCTGAGTCTCTATCCTTTGTTCTATGACCTTCCAAATCAACAGGCCCTGGCCACCTTTCCCTTTCTTTATTTTTCTTTCTTTTTTCCCCTTCCTTCAATCTTTACCTCCCTCCTCTCTTCCCTTCCTGCTTTCTTTTCTTTCCTTTTTTCTTCTCTCTCTCTGTCTCTCTCTCTATCTCTGTATCTGTCTCTCCCCCCCCCTTCAGAAACTCTTTTCTCCTGTCCCAAACCCTAGAGCAGCCTTTCTTACTTTCTTAGTTACATTTAAGATGCAGTTTAACTCTTTTAATCCCATTTGGGCTGCGGTCCCCAATTTCAGGATGAATTTTCTATGCAGAGCTTCTGCTTGCCCATCTTGAAATAACTTTGGTTCTTGCACTCAAGTAGTTGTTTTCCTTCCAAAGTGAGCATTGATCTTATCCGGATATTTGGCTTATCACGGTGAGTCACTGCATAGAACTGGCCTTTTTTTTTTTTTGCAATGTGATACTATGATGAGAATAGAGCTCATGGCCATTTTTCATCCAGAACAAAAAGATGATCAGGGATTCAGGGGTGCAGGATGGGAATACACCCCAGGAGCCTGGCTCTAAGGCCAGCAACCTGCAAGTTACTGTGTCTAATAAGGAGAGCTGCGAAATTAGTTTCAAGGAAGGTTGATCTTCTAGGGTGGAGGTGGCAAAGGAACACCGCCAACGTTGCCTGCTCCATGCCCTCAGCACAGCCATTAGGTCCAGGAGCAAGCTTGTTAGATCCTCCATGTTTGCTGGGGAGTGCTCTCTGGGGGAAACTGCAGCTGTTTGCAGCTCCCAGCTCAAGTAGGGCTGCTGTCTGTGGTGGCAGAGCAGAGCAGAGAAGATTGGCTGCTAGTGTGAGTGACTGGGTGAAAAGCAGCTTAGGGCTGGAGTATGGACACTAGAGTAGAACTAAACTACATGAGCTCTTTCTCTATCTGTCCATTAGTCTGTCTTGTCTGGCTGTCTTACTGTAGCTCTGATTGTCACTAGCTGTGTCTCTTCTCTGTTCCTGTCTCAGGCTTTCTCAGTCTCTTTTCTGTGTCTGTCTCTTCAGCTCTCTCTGCCCTTCTGACCTGAGCCCAGACCAAGCAAGGACACCTCCTTTCCTTTTTTCCCAAGAGAAAAGTGGGTAACTGCGTCTCGGTAGATGTAGAAGAGGTGGTGGGTGAAAGAGGCCAACTCCTGAAGATGTGGATAGAAGGGGATTGTCTGGGAGGGGACTGCTTACAGAACAGACCTTCCGCTTCAGTCCTTTGCCTCAAGAGAATGCTCCGGAGGCTTCATTGCCTCAGCATTAGGGTTAAACCCCAAAGATAGTTTGGGGGATCTCCCTGGCTCCATGCCCTTCCCCCTTCCCCCACTTGGTTGTCTAGACTATTTCTCTGGGACAGGAAGGATGGGTTGGTGGGAAGAGGGAGGGGGTGGTGGGAAGTCCCGCCGAGCCCTCCCCTCTGATTCCCCGCTCCCTCTGAGCTCCCTCTGCCTTGGGACAATAAGTTGGTTTCAATGGGGCCCCGCGAGTTTGAAGGGATATAAAGCGAGTCTTTCACGGAGCTGCCTTTGGCCCCTGGTTCTTGGCAGCCGCGCAGTGGCTGGCGGCGGGAACGGCCTGAAAAGCAGAAGCAAGAAGGGGGCTGGAGGGGAGGGATATAGGGGGAGGGGGAAAGGGGAGGACGAGAAACGGGCGATTCCGGGGAGATTCGCAAGCCTGGGGTATAAATGGTCTCCCAGCTGTCAGATGAGCTCATTCAAAGGAGCCGGAACATCTTGGGGGTGGGGGGCACGGAAGGTTTTCTTGATGAAGCCATAGTGGGGTAAATCCCTCTGGGGCTTGGGGTGATGGGGAAGAGGGACTCTTTTAAGCTTGAGTCCTGGCCCCACCCATAGGGAAATCACAGAAATCCGGGAGGAGGGGAGGAGGAGTATTGCTGGTCACTAGTCCACTAGCTGCCTAGGTGTCTGGTCGAAGCCGAAGCCAAAGCCATCAAGCCCCCCTCCCCGAAGCCCCCAGCCCTCCTGCTTTCTCACATCAGATTAAACAACCCCAATTTTCCTCTCATCTAGGTCCACTCAATTCCTTTCGGACCTGCTTTCCCCGCCCCCTCCCAGGCCCCTCCAGTCATCTACCCTTATCTTCCTATCTTCCACTCTCAGTCCCCCTCGTCTCTCTCCAATATAGGTACCCCAGTTCCTTTCTTCATCATCTTCATTGAACACCCCACCTGCCTCCTCCTTGCTCCCGCTCAGATACCCCCAGTCCTTTCTCCTGCTCTCTCATTCCCTCTGTTCTTCCGTCCCTCCTCCTCCAACTCTTTCCCCCCAGTGTTCAGCAATTGGCGTAGACCTGGAAGAAGCCATCGTGACCAGGGAGAAGCCAAAAATTGGGGGGGGGGCAGCTAGAGAGTGATCTAGAGAGATGGGGGTGGGAATGGAAAGAGGTAGTCAAAATCTGCCGGCAGGGCTGCACCCAGTTCAGAGAAACTTGTTTTCCAGCCAGGTACCCGATGGTGTGCTTGTTTGGGTCCTGGACTGGGGCTCTGTGTGTGTGTGTGTGTGTGTGTGTGTGTGTGTGTGTGTGTGTGTGTGTGTGTGTGTGCGCGCGCGCGCGCGCGTGTGCGTGTGTGTGTGTGTGTACACGCGCGCGCAGGCGTGTGGATGTGCTGGCTGGGGGAGGGGGGACATTTAATTTTGAGGGTAAATTGTGCAAATTTCCCGGGTAACTTTCCAATACTGGCCACACCACCCTGGCCCCCCTAGGAAAGCACTGAAAATGCCTGCACTTTGTGGAGGTTGGGAAGGAGACAAGCAAGCTTTCATTGAGCTCACCGCCAGAGTGGGTGTCTGCCCCCCCCACCCTAGGCCCCTCTCCTTGGGAGAAAGGGGAGAGAAAAGGTGGACAGAGACTCAGTCTTTGCAACAGCCCCCTGCCCTTTTCCTCCTCCGTCTCCCTCCCTACAACACCTTTCAGAGAAGGGATTTATACGAGCATCCTCTTCTTGTAGATAACCTCATAGGTACAAGTGATAAGTTCAAGACCCTTCAGCCCGGATGGCTTACAGACCTAGACACTGACCTCTCCCCGTCCCCCCCCTCCCCACAGCCCACCCATATCTCCATCCAGACTGGGGGAGAGTATGCTGATTTCTTTCCCAGACAGCATTTGTAATTATTAAACAGTGTGTATGAGTGTGTGTATGTGTAAATGTGTGACTATGTACCTAAATGCGAGCGTGAATGTGAATGAGTGTGTGACTGTGCAAATGTGAGTATAGATGAGTGTGTGAATGAGTGCATAGGTGAGTGTGTCAGTGTGTGTGTGCGTGTGAATGTGAGTGCGGGCGAGTGTGTATACGTGCGCTTGCGTTTATCAGACGATTTAAGAAATGGAAATTGTCCTCTATGGGTGTGTTTGGGTGGGGGGAGTTGGGAGTGGGAGGCTGAACTTGAGAAGAAACCAGCCCATTTTAAAACAAATACGAATAAACAACCCTTAAGACGTAATTTGTGGTTTATTGTGTGTTGGGGGGGGAGGGCGCTGATAAGGTGGGAAAGCCCTATTGCAGTTTTCCCCTCTTCCAGCCCCGTCCCTTCCGATGCTCCCCCTCCCAGAGTGGGGAAGTGGAAGGTGGGTGGGGGGCGAAGCGGGCTCAGCGAGTGATTAATCCCCGGGATAATAAAACTCCCCTTTCCCCGGGGACCCTCCGCGCTGATCCTGCAAAGCTCGATTGGAGAGAGTCATTTTCAGAGAGCGGAGCCCTCCTCTCCCCGAGCCAGAGGAGACTTGGTTCATTCCAGCCGCAGCAGCTCAGGGCTTCCACGTATTAGGGATTTTTCCGAGCAGAAAAAAAGCTCTCTCCTGACCTCCTTTCTCCTCCTCCGCCCGGTCGGAGCCTCAGCCATCCTTTGCCGAGCCCGACCCGGCCATGAAGCCCTCGTCGGGATGGGAGCCCAGGGGCTGCGGCGGCCCCAATCCGAGTGTGCGAAGCGAATCCGGGATAAGGGCTCCCGTGCGGGCTGGAGGGAGCCGCCTGCTGCTCCTATGCTGGGTGCTGTTCATTGCCTCGGCCACCGGTAAGTGCCAGCCCAGACTCGGGCTCCGAGCTCCGCTGCGCTCCTAGCCGCGGCGCGCCGCACCTCTTCGCGCTGTGCCGCCCCCGGCAGCCCCGGCCCCGGCCCCGGCCCCAGCCCCTGCTTCGGAAGCGCAGCACAGCCGCCAAACCCGGACAGCGTGCAGGGCGCACCCAGGACCTGGCTTCGGCTCCCGCCGCCGCCTCCCGGGGCTTCTCCCTGCATAAACTTTCCCGGATCTCCCGGCCCCTCCGGGCCTCAGCCGGGGCAAATACCTCTCGCCAGCCCGGTCTCCCTCCTTACCCGGGTTATTTTCACCACCTCTTCCCCCTCGAGGACCCTGCTTTGCAAAACAAAACAAAACAAAAAACGTCTCTGGGTTTGGGCGCACTGGGAGAGACAGGATGGGGGCGATCCCCGTCGATTCTAGGCTCTGCCTGGCTCTTTTCCGCCCCACCCCCCTAGCCGGTTTCTCGGGAGCCTAACCGGCGCCCGGAGCGGGCTGAGCTCCCCAGAGCCGGCGGGGAGGCGTATGCCGGCCACCTTCCCCGACGCTCTGGCCTCCTGGCCCTGCCTGGCGGGGTCTGGGAAGCAACCCAGCATGTTAAATAAACTTCCTCGCCACAGCCCAGTCCCAGGAAGGAGCCCTCCTTCCATCCCCTCCCTCTTTTCCATCCCCTTATCCCAGTACCCCCAGAGCCCTGCAGGTGCCGTGTGGGGAAGCGAACGGTCTGGGGGCGCGGTGGCTGGGTGCAGGGAGGGGGCAGTGAAGACTTTATCCTTTGGTCTACAGCCTGGGGAAGGAGAGGAGGTGACTGCTGGGGCGATGCCCTGTTCTCTCCAGGGCTGCGGGGCGGGCGCTGGGGCGTCGGGGGGAGAAGCGGCTTAGCCCGAACCTTGCCTTCCCCTCCCCCAGCCCGGAGCTCTCCCCCTCAAAGTGCCCTTTCTCACTGCCTGCAGCAAATGCTCTTTCTGCAGCGGCAGCACCAGCAGCTGTGAAGGGACTTTGTTTCAGGCTCAGTCTGACGAGGGCGGGGGCTGGGGTTAAGGGAGATTGGGGAGGAAAAGGGAGGGGAGCCCGCTGGTGTCCCTAAACTTTGCCCGTAGCGGAGATGCCAACCTGATTTCCTTATATAAAGCATCCCTCTTCGAAGAGAGTGGAGCGCACTGACCAGCACCAACACTTAGAGATACTGAACAGATCTAACACTGCACCCACCCCCATATCTAAGTCAAGAGACATCATTCTGACCCTAGCTGGAAACCCCTGGTTTTCCTGGGCCAGATCAACGCGTTTTCCTGCAGCACCATTTCCGTTCCCCTGGGGCTAACTGGACCCCTTCTCTAGGGATTGGCGAGAAATTCCTTAGATGGGCACGGAGGCTAGGGACTTTGACTTCTCTGGGGCAGCTGAACCGTGTCAGATTCCTTTATGCTGTGGTTTCTTCTGCGAATGTTAGTTTTCTTCCTTGGGCTTCTCTTTCTGACGAGTTTTCCCAACTTAACAATGCCAGGTACCCTCCTCCCAGCCCCGCCCAGAGCTGGCTTGCTCTTTTCCCGCAGAGGCACAACGAGGTCTTTCCCCTGACAGTTGCCCCTACAGCCTTCTGTTTCTAACAGTGATCGTCTAGCTTAAGTCATGACTATCCTCCTCTCTTGTCATCTGGGAAACAAGGATTTCATGCCGAGCAAGGGACAGGGATCCCTCATGGCCCTGCCTCCTCAAACTCTCTCTCAAAGAATCTCCGTGAGAGAATGGTCCGCAGAAAATCCAGCAGCAATGGGGCCTCTGGGTCCCTTAGTCATTGAATCCTGCAGCACGGCACCGTGTGGGCTTTATTGGGAGGGTGTGGGGTGAGGAAGCTGATTGACCCAAGACACTCAAGGGACCCAAGGGTAGAGAAGCCCTTCACTTTTATCCTTTACTGATGGCCGCTGGCTTTTCAGCTAGTACTTTGCCTAGGACTTTTTTCTGAGATTCCAAGCAGTAATGACTCGAGTCGCCCAGAGAGTGGCACCACAGCATCGCTAGCATCTCAGCGCTTGCCGACTCTGGCTCCCATAGCAGAGCTTCCCTTCCTGGTCACACATTCACAGTATACAAGCACATAAGGGGCTGCTTGCTGTTTCTGGGCCAGTAGCCCAGGGGCACCCAGCCTGTCCAAGGAGACCTCGATGGGGCCAGGATCAGGTGGCTTCCAGCACTTTAGTGCTCGGTAGATGCTGAGACCCAACCCGCTCATTGCAGTTGCCAGATTAGCTCTCACTGCAATCACAGGGAGTGGTTCTGCAAAACCCTGACGGACTGTTTGAGAGATGCAGGGGCTAGAATTTTCTTTCCCTAGTACATGTCACTCCCCTAGAAAGAGGCAGACCCCCAGCAAAACTTTCCCTTGCCAATCCCTGGGGTTTCCTTTCTATGGAGAAGCATTGGCCGGCAAAAGACTGGTGCAGTCCGGGAAGTTCCGGTGGGAAGAATGACTTCTAAGGCCGATCCTCCGGCTTTTCTTTGTCTTTTCTCTTCAATCATTCCCCCGCTGAGCCGTGAGATTTTTCACCAGTACAGTAAACAGTGCCCCTGAGATAAATTGGGTTTTTAATGGGTGGGTTGAGTTATACTGAGCAAGTCACTTCGGGGAAATTGAGTCTCTTCATTTTGCCTTGTGAGTGTTGGCTAACTTGAAAGTTTACCCAAGGTCTAAAATCCTCTCTGCTCTCTCTCCCCAATTGGAATTCCCAAATCCTCGAAGCTCAGCCCTTGACTCACTGTGTGACCTTGGGTAAGTCCTTTCCCTTCCTCTGGGTCTTGGTTTTTTCACATGTAGAGCGAGGAAATCAAACTAAATGATCTCTGGAGTCTCTTTAACTCTGCCATTCTGTTCTGTGTTTATGATGGGAAGGTTCCCCCCTATTTTACAACCTCAGCCTAAGTCCTGTTAGTGGTTCAGTTTAACTGTGATTTGTATAGAAAAAGGATCCTACATCTAAATTGTCCAGTATCTCAAGTCATATGTAGCCCAGTCTTCCTTTATTTACATGACTGTAATTAGAAACACTGATCTAGATGGCAGAGATAGAAATGGATGGAGTGATAGAAACTTATAGGATTCTAGAATCATGGATTCTCTGACCTGGAAGGAGTCTCAAAAGGTCTGTATCTAGTCTAATGCCCACCTAACAATGTCCCTGGCCATCCAGCCTCTGCTTGAAGCCCTTCAGTGGTGAAGAACCCTCTCCTTAAAAAGGAAAAGGTTATGATCTGCTCAGGTCAGCTAGTGAATAAAGTAATTTTCTTGACCTTGGGAAAATCGGGTCAGAAGACCTGCATTCAAATCCAATCTCAGACACTCACTAGTTCTGTGATCCTGGACAAGTCATTTAACCTGTCTACCTTGGTTTCATCATCTATAAATTGGGATAATAATAATCCCTAGCTGCCAAGGATAAAATTATATTTGTAAAGCATTTTGCAAACCTTAAAGCACAATATAAAGGTGCTTTAATATGCTATAAATATAAATAAAAGCTCAAATATTATTTGTGAGCTCTATTTAGTCAACTTCAACAAGCATTTATTTACTGAGCACCTGCTTGGTGCAAATCACTGTGCTAGCTACCAGGGACAAAAAGACGAAAACAAAACCAGGCCCTGCTCAAAAAGAGCTTCTATTTTTACTGGGGGATACAACATTAAAATCAGATTAATCAATTCCAAATAATTTGATGAGGAGAACATAGTATTAACTTGAGAGATCAGGAAGGGCTTCCCATGGAAGGTGATACCTGAAATGATCCTAGAAGGAACCTCAAACTTCTAAAAGGTAGAGGTGACAAGAGAGTGCATTGTAGGCATGGAGAAGAGTCAGGGAAGAATGTGTTCTGATTTCCATATAGAATAGACTACAGATAATCAGAAATCAGCTTTTAAAAAATCACTGTCCAAGGATGGTATTCTAGATGGGTCCATGTGAGGAATGTGTACATACTGAGGCAGAGAAGAAGCTTAGCCTGTGCAGTATATGGAGCGGGACTGAGAATCCAGCTCTTCCTACCTCTGACATTGGAGTTAGGGATGGGCTATACAGTGCATCAAGGGCTGGATCTAGAATCAGAAAGGTCTGGGTTCAGATCCCACTCCTGGCAATGTCACCATCTGGGGGAAAAATCACTCAACCTTTCTGACCCTCCATTTCCTACTCTGTCAATTAGAAATAACGATATTCGTGGTAGCTCCTTGTTGAAAGAGTCAAAATGTGGTAATATATCACATGTGTTTTGGAAACTTAAAGTGCTATAAAAATGTCAGTTAAATATTAGGTTATTTGGAAGGCTGTGTTCCTGATTCAGAGAAGGTGGAATACAAACCAGGAAAGTTGCTGGGCTAGGAGTCTCCAAAGCAAAGGTTCTTAACCTGGGGTCATGAACTTAATTCTCTTTTTTTTTCTATTTCAATATAATTAGTTTCCTTTGTAATCCAATTTATTTTATTGTTTAAATTTAAAAGCATTATTCAGAGAAACAGTCCAAAGGCTTCACTAGACTGCCCAATAAGTCCATGACATAAAATAGCCTGAGTTCTAACCCTTGCACTAAAGCCTCATAGAAAGCTCGGTGCTGCTCCTGTCTATGGTCTGCTTTTTCAGCTCTGGTCTGGGTTTTGTGATTCCTATCTATTGTTCACTTCTCTTCCATTACTTTTTATGGGAAGTGGTGATTGGTTGAGTCCATTTCAATTCAAATCAGTTTGATTCAGTTCAACAATCATTAAGCACCTGCTGTGTGTCATGTACTCAGCTAGATGCTGGGGAAGGTTCAGAAAAGGGATAAGAACACCAATGGAAATAACAAATGCATAATTATTACATAAGTGCATGAGAGGGGTGAAGTCCTATGGGTGATCAGGGGATGATAAATTGAGGAGGAGCATTGGAGTTAACCTTTAAAGAACAGAAAGTAATTCCATATCAGGGAGGGAGAGAAGTCCAGGAATAGGCAACAGTGTG